CGATACAATTATTATATGAACGACGTTTAAAGCTCGTTTTGGTATGTAACATAGTAGGCTTTCAAATAACTACAGTTTCGTTGAATGAAAAGTAAAGAGAAAAAACAAAGTGTTTAACACAAACGACGCTACATAGTGTGTCGAATATTTGCATCTTTCTTTTCTTGGTGAAAGTCGAAGGGTTCGATATGTGAAATGGAAGCTTTTTCTTTTAACAATTTGCAACAAAAGTGCGCTTGAAAGGATCAATATTTTAAAATTTAGTATTTGTTTGATTTATTTTTTTTGCGATCGTTTGTATTATTGCAAATGACATTGTCCTGCCCTTTGCTTCCAATGGCCATTCGATTCGAATTAATCTGACTTCTTGAAGCGTCGCAGAAAGTCTCCGGACCTGCCTGAAAATGGCTAGAATTCCATATTATGTGTACATCGTTGTGCTCCCCCACGTAATTTTGAATGGCTTTACTTACTCTTCAGGGCCTTTATGGTGACTTGGGTGTCAGGGTGTGGGTGACACATGTCGATAAAAAAACAAGTAAGAAAGTTATAGTCGGTGGGAGCCGAATCATGCATTCCCACCATAATACCATTAACATTTTTCTCTCCAAGTTCTTTTATTTGAAATCCATATCGCTCTTATAATTAAAAGAAAATTAATCCACTAGATCGCCGTGCCCACCATATTCATTTTAGAATTAATCCCTTTTTCGGCAGATAACATTGCTTCATTTGACAAATGTGCAAAATAATTTTACATATTTTGTATTGTGTGCCTTATGATAAGGTCTCAAAAAAGTGAAAAAAATGCAATTTAATCAGTGGTAATTTTCCGTGGCCATAGCCGTTCTCGTTCCACTGCAGTCTTCTGTTCTGATCAGTTTGGCCCCATTTGCAATACCAACACGCATGCAAAACTTCCAATGTTTCCACCAAATTTGGAGTTGATATCTTCCCTTTTTCGACTAGGGGAGTGCCAACAACAAGCACCAAACAGACACGCAGACGGATGGACATGGGCAAATCAACTCGGAATTTCACACTGATCAAGAATATATATGCTTTACAGGGTCTCTGAAGCTTCCTTTTGGGTGTTACATACATTATGGAAAAAAACAAAATTAGTGTACCCCCGTCTTATTCTGGTGGATATAAACACACATTCTATTAAAATGTGTGAACGTCAATGAGGATTGGCCGCGATGAACGCATCCATTCACTCGCTCAATTGATTGAGTCGGCGAAAAAGTTAAGTTATAAATGTTTAAGAGAAACTTGCGAGGTAATGGGCGACTGTTAGACGCCATTTTTGCCATTGACGGTCTTTTCGGCATCATATGTGATATGTGACGAAAATTCATATGAACAGGATAACTGATATTTTGATTAAAAATTTTATCCTTCACATATTTATAAACGCATATGCGACGGCGGTATGTGCAGTGCGCGATAAGTGGATATTGGATGAGTAGTGGAGAAGACAATGACATAACGGACAAATAGATACATATACAAACTAACTGGCTTACAGATCAGACAAAGAAACGAAGCATCCCCAACTCTTCACGCTATACGCTGTTGAAAAACTTCATAGTCAGAGTAAAAATATGTGGAATAAGACAAGACAGCAGACGCAAATTTTCGGCCCCTCGACTCGGACGACGATAAAATACCTAATTCGTACTTTCCGCAAGGTTGCCTTTTGCCAACCTTATCGTATGGCAGCTGTTTTCTGATTGAGTTTCCCCAAACCGGTCGTTTGTTTGCCTCTAATCTAATCTAATAGCTCTGCCAGCGAGACAAAGGGCATATGAGGTCAAAACGAGGAATGACTTTGACGTCTCACATGTTCCTTTGCCTTCTCCTAAACAAAATAGTTTCTTTTGCTTACCAAAATAGTGCTTTCTTTCCCTTTCAAACTTGGCTAATTTTTATATTCACACAAATTTGAATTATTTTATTTTCAAAACCGAGTTTCATTTCAATCCACAAGTTTTCTTCAAAAACAGTTTTACAAATGTTAACAAAAAAACTTAAGCTCAATTAACTAGCTTGATGATCAAAGAGACAAGGACCATTCCCTAAAGCCAAGAACTATCATCATTGTATACAAGCAGACTTCTCCTTATAATTCCCTCTCTTCCTCTCATAATTACAATGTAAGTATAGATTAGTACAAGTGAAAGATAGTAATATAAAGAAAGAATATGAGTAGCGGTGATCCGTCATCCGAATTAAGACATGGACAAATAAGAATGCGGACCGAGACTGATAAATAACCCAACGACGCGAATCACACGCATTAAAGCTATAATTTTCGGTATGAGTGTACACTTGACAAGATCTCCTAGGGGGGAACCTGTGGGGGCAATACGTACTTGTAGGTTTAAGAAGTGACTTCAACTTTTTGGAACTATTGGCTAAATTATGTGTTGTGCAGTTCTCAAGTGACAGTTGAAAGAAAGCAAAACAAAACTTATATCTTGTTGGACTCTCGAAAAACGGGAAACAATATAGAATAATGTGCAGCTACATTATGCATTAACTTTCTTCTAACTTAAACTTCGATGAAAAAACTTAGAGAGAGAGAGAGAGAGACAGTTTTGACGCAAAAACTCGCTCATCTTCTTTCATGCAAGGTTTTTATTTACTTTTCTTACGCGTCTCGCATCAGTTTAAGATAAGTTCAAAAGAATACATTAACTGCAAATTAGAAATGTAAATTTCATTTATAAGCTCATCTATAATTCGAACACAAAAATATTTATATGGAAAAATTCAGCTCATGGTATCCAGACAAACTATGAATTTAATTCTGCTCGACCGCAATACTTACTACTCTGAATATCTCTCGTTAGCATTGCATAGTTACGGAGTTTGTTTTCACATAATATAAAATAAATTTGAGTCAAATTGTTTTAAAACAACAATTAATGCTTTTTATCAGTTATTAACATTTATATTTGAGCTCGTCACAGTACAATTCATTTCAGTTGCCATTACCAGACCAATGTCCACTATTGTCACGAAAGACATCCCCATAGATAATCCGACTGATACAATTCATTTTATTTTAATTTCAATTAATGATTAATTTTAAAATGGTTAGCAATTGCTATTTACTAATAAACCCCAAACCACCAAAAAAGAATTGTATTTGCTAAATCTAAATATAAGTTTATAAGAAGATGTTCACTGTTTTAGGCACGCTCGTAGTCCCCGGTGGTAGGTAGGAGGGCGGATAATAGGAAGGCGCCGGTATATATGGACCGGCTGAAGATGATCCATTGCAGCGCGAAGGAAAGAGAAAAATGTAAATGAGTTAACGCTTGCGCTCTTTGAGAGATATGATGACAGCAAAAAAATGTCTACGTACTTTGAATGGGTGCAGTGGTCACTACTTCCGGTCCTAATGTGGACGATTCATAGTGATGTCATGTAAAGACGTAAATATAAATTAGTAAACACTTATCCTCTTTCGTAGTTGTAAGCATAATGCAACACAATCACACATACCTTGGGGGGCTGGAATAATCGTCGGTTCCGCTTCTATATTGTATAATCCATAGTGTTGTCATGTAAAGAGGTGTAGATAAGTGCTATATTAATTACATACACAAACATAATTTGCACATACCTGGAATGGGCACCACAGTTACTTCTTCAGGTCCCAAAATGGACGGAGCATAGTATTATCATGGAAAGATGTAAATATAAATTAGTAAACACTTATCTTCTTTTGCAGTTGTAAGCATCGTGCAACACAATCACACATACCTTGGGGGGCTGGAATAATCATCGGTCCAGCTTCTACTTTGTGTAGTCCATAGTGTTGTCATGTAAAGAGGTATAGGTAAGTTATAGAACAAATACATACATAAAACACAATTTGTATATACCTGTTTGGGGAGACACGGTTACAGCTTCCGGAGTCTCTGTATATTCTTCGTCTGGCGGCGGTATCGAACCTATATTTGGTGCCAAAGAAGACATAAGTTTTTTAGATTATAACACAAAGCTATTACATACCAAGTAGTGACTTCATAGTACTGTTATTTTCGGGAAAGACGAAATCTATATTTATCAGAAGACGTAAACTTTTTACTTTAAAATACCATTATCACCAATACGTACCAGTAAGGGTTGGCGTTGGCGTTGGCGGGACCATACCTTCACGTTGTTTTTCTATGTTTATTTACTGATATAAGTTTTATATTCCAATGACATAGTGATTAGTGCGATTACTTACCCTTCGGTAATTGGCCATGATGCCACACATAACTTCCGGATGGACTCACGCACATACCTATATATTTCGCAGATGTGAATTTTTCGCATTAAAATTCAATTCATACAAATGCATACCTATTTTGTCAGACTCAGGAGGAACCCACAGGTAGTAGCCAAGTTTGTTAAAAATTACGCTTTCAAAACAATCACCATCTATACATGTAGGCGGATGTTATGACTTTGTTTTGCAGTGTAGTCAATAGCGCAGACAAGTTTTTTAAATTAAAAATTGACTGCATACTTACATTTTTTGTGAGTTGGACGTCGCAATCCAGCTACAAACATTAAAAGGTATAAGTTATTTCCAACATAATTCAATCAGAGCAAGTGCGTTATATACCGAATGGCAAGCCGTGGTTCCATTTTAAATAATAATTAGTTCCCTCCGGTCCGGGTAAGGTGCAGGGATCTAAAGTTTTTGATTAAATTGCTTATGTTTTTCGCTGGAGTTAACGAGAATACATACCGTTTGTGGCGACTCCAATGTGTGCAGTGTAATGTCCTATAGTATTACCAACAAAATATTCGTCACCAGGAGCTACACAAACTGCATGTGGAAAAGAAACATGAAAGTTTTAAATTATTACAAGACAAAGCATGATACAAAAATGGTCAGAGTTTACATATCACATTATGCTTGAAGGAGCTTTATGTGTACGTCTAGACTAACTGAATGTAATATGTTTTAGACAAATCGATTACCAGAAATACTTACACAGATCTTTGTATGCAGTCGAAATTAACACAAATACCACATTAACCATAAAAAGAAAGATAAAAAAGGGAAAACGAAATTATTTAAATATTTGGCAAAGCAACTTTATTTGTTTATCTTAACTAACACAAGAAAAATTGTTACAATGTATTACGATTATCAGAAATACTTACAACCTGTGTATGCAGTCAAAGTTAGCAAAGACGTGAAATAAGCAATCACTCGAAAAATAATATATAAAATACATAAGTTCACGTTGACCAATACAAGCAAATTTGTTTGGCTGAGTAATCCAATTACTACAAATACTTACATTCTTTATACACAGTCGAAGTTAGCAGAAATATCAAATTAACGATGACCGGGAAAATAAACAAAACGAAAACATGAAATTTATAAATAAAAATATTCCTGAAGGAACTTTATGTGTTCATCTTGACAAGTGCCAGATATCTTGTTTCAGAGTAATTGGATTACCAGAAATACTTACCCGCTTTATATGCAGTCGGAGTTAGCAGAAATATCAAATTAACGATGACCGGGAAAATAAACAAAACGAAAACATAAAATTTATAAATAAAAATATTCCTGAAGGGACTTGATGTGTTCATCTTGACAAATGTGAGATAACTTGTTTCAAAGCAATTCGATTATCATAAGTAGTATATATATGGGGGAACGTCGACGCGAATTTTAGCCCGCAACAAAAAGGCCCTTTTTTTTTTTCTTTCGAAAATAGCCCAACTTCACACGGTTCGGCAAGATATTGGAAAAATTGGTCTTCCTCGGTTGGGTTTTTTGCATATCGCTTCCTCAAATCGTCCAGATCGTCGCTAGATAAGTCATTCTCTCTAATAATTTCACTTCTTATTTTCTTGTAGACACCCTCAGACTTGACTTCACCTAAATTGTAGGCTTCCAAATCTTTATTATCTAGTTTGTTTAAAAAATTCACCCGAGCCTGTTTTGGAAGAATGTTTTTCATTTCTTCACGGAAAACTACGCGTTTATATCCTCTCACTTGAGAGGTTTTAAAAAAGGTATGATTGAAAACACCTCTAGTTGTGAAGCAGCATTGCAATGGCTGACCCGTCTTTGGCTTTTCTACCACGAATATATCGTATTCTAAACAAATTTTATCTTTTCTCGAATTCCTACAGCAATAAGCTCTTATATGAGCAAAATTGTTTTTTTGATATTTGATGTCTTTAATTTCTAAAGGACATTTCTCTATAGTCTTAACAAAGGTTTTATTTCTATAACCGAAAAAGCTAACATTCGTACTGATCGTCTCATCTTCAGTTTCTGATTTAACTATTGCATTATAGACATCAATCGCCTCAGCCAAGTAATGCTTTATAAAATAGGAATAATTTTTATTAAATTTTCCATTATTATCTATAAAACTTTTCGTAGCGTTAAACGGTACAGAAAAATAAAAAGGCTCGGAGCAGTCTTTAGAGATTTGATGAGAGTTTTCAGAAGGAATTGACTGCTCGATGATAACATTTTCTAAGTTTTCCTGAGCAACTGTCTCGGGCAATTTCATTTCCATATTTATGGACCTATCTTCTTCTATTTTTGAAGGAAAACTTGTCAATTGTGTATTCTGTTCTATAAAACTCTTCACAAATTTGAAAAGTTTAATACTTTTATGTCCCTATTGTCCGAACCCCACAAAACTGCCTGCGTTTCAACATCCGTTTTCATTGAGATGAATGGAATTGGTTTTTCGCAAACTATTTCGCTTAACGAAGATAGGTTTGGCGGAGAAACTGTTAATTTGGTGGAGAAATGTTTACCATCAGTTGAAATAAAACGTTTATCAGAATGTTTATCCTTTAATTTTTCTAAGATTTTATCGAAATTTTTACGACAAAACCATATTAAACATACATGGTTCTTTAGATTAGGTTTTTTCTTTAAATTCCTACACAATGAATTTAGTAAGGAATTTTTGCTATTTTTCCCCACTTGTAGAGAATTTTTATTTAACTTAATGTTCCTGTTATGAACTTCTAGCATAAGAAATTTAAAAAACTCATCAAAATCTATGGATTTCTTTTTTAACTTTCTTCTAGCAAGGTGGAATACTAAAAAAAAATGAGATTTATAGCTCCAAACGAAAATTTCAACGAAGTTCCATCAACAGCCATATTTGTTTTATATTGTTCTTTAACAAGGTTATTAATAAAATGCAAAAAGTACTTACTTAATTTTAATTTTTAAAAAGTTTGCAAAAAATGTTGCAGAAATTAACTAAGTCCCAAATTTGATGTAGTAGCAACCCACTAAAAACTCTGGTCACAATTTTCACTAGTAACGATGTTCGTTTCAATGTAAGATGATGATATCTGTTCGTTTAAATATTAAAGCACTTCAAAATCAATTGGACTCTACTCTTGATAATATTCGATTGAGTATCTCAAGCGAAATGAATTTTATGTAAATGAATTGCTATAATTTCTAAGTTTATCCCTCATCATTTATGAATTTATAAAACAAATTGAAAAAATCCAAAAATCCAAAATTTTCGGCTTAAGAGAACTACTTATTAATTATATGATTTATTCATTGTAATTATATTGCAATTACTTTAAGTACCATATCGTCTTTAAATAAAATAAGTTATATGGCATAATATATGCCGAAGTAAATGACACCGCGGAAAGTACATCCCACTGCCGAATGAAGAAAATATATATATATTCATGTAATGTTGTCTTCTTCTTTTCCTTAGAATATATGTCGTCATACCCAAAAGTCATAAACTGAATTTTTATCGATACAAATCATAAGAAAGAGAAAACAGGTAGTGAAGTGACTGCTAAGCGCACGCACAAACGCACACGAACATTTTTACCATAGCATATATTCTATTAGCCTATAGAATGTCTTCAACAAAATTATACGCGATTCATATTTAGAAAAATGACGACAACTCAATACCATACATATAAATTCTTAAGCAAGTGTATGGACAAATGCGTTACTATTGGAAATATATCCGCCTAATGCGTAATCTTAAACATGCATGCTAAAAAAAGACAAAAACATTATGTGTATAAAATCAAACATTTCATTAGCAACATTTACGCAACATTTTGCCTTACGGTATTGTGAATATGGAGCGGACCGATTTTTGGCGAATTTCGAGGTGATGTCCCCTATACAGGGTAATGAAGTTATGTTTTTCTGATAGGTTATAGCGTCCTTTAAGACATACCAAAAAACTGTAGTCTAAAAATAGTTATAACACGATTTTAACGTACTCATTTGTAACGTACCTTTGCATGAGATTTACTAGCAATAACTAAGCATTTGTGGTTTTGCGTCCGTAATTAGCGACTTAGTATGTTTTATATGTGCACGTTCGCTAAGATTATTAAATTTTAATACTTATTTTACTTTATTGTTATTCATTTCGCAATACATTGTAACTCAGCAAAGACATTTTTAGCGAAGACAAGAACCATAAAAAACGTGTGTTATCTTGGGGGGCTAACTTCACTTCAGTAATTTTTTGGCCTTTTCGTATAGTAGTAGTATATATACGGGGGAACGATGTCCGCACACTTCCCGATCCCACCACACTCCAAACGCCACCCATGCGCACACACACATACACACACACAATACCATCCCTCACGTCTACTACACATTCCACATGACAGTCCACTTACCCTCACAACACGGATTCCAACGCTAACGATCACGTTTCATCATGTACCTCCCTCTCCAATTACACTCCCTCATATCACGCTAACAAACACTTATCTCCCATAAATCTTACCTCCATTACACACATCCTCCTAAGCAACCGAAAAATTATTCCTACACGGACATGAATTATTTATGATTCTCTTTACAAAAGTACATGAAAAAAGAAGCACGACCGTGCATGCATGTCTCTACACAAATTCCCATCAGCACATCTCTTCATTACACACATCTTAATTACCAAACCAAAAAGGATTCTTTCGAGGACATACATTATTTACGATTCCGATAACAAAACAAAAATTAAAAATATATAAAAAAAAGGGACACGGTCGTGCATACACATGTCT